AACAGATCCCCGCACGCCCTAGACGACCAAACGCCGAAACCCGAACCTTCCAAGCCCAACCGTCCCACCTAAACCCTAAACCCAGAGACCCGAAGGTCACCCACCACCGAAACCCACAAAGCACCCCCCAAGACCCCGAAACCCCAAACCCCAAGACTCTAACGTCAAGCTAGCCCAAACCCGACACCTTAAACCCCTAAACCCTAAACCCTGAACCCTAAACCCTAAACCCTAAACCCTAAACCCTAAACCTCAACCCTAAACCCTCGCATCGAGCGCCTGCAGCGCCAGGCTGCAGTACAAGTGCCTGGGCGGAGCGCAGAATTGGTGTTCCCAAACCAGCGCGAATGTCTAGAAGCGAAAAAACCCCATGGGTTTAGGGTTTCGGGTTTAGGGTTTAGGGTTTAGGGTTTAGGGAAAAGGGTTTAGGGTTTAGGGTTTAGGGTCTAGGGTTTAGGGTTTAGGGTTTAGGGTTTAGGGTTTAGGGTTTAGGGTTTAGGGTTTAGGGTTAGGGTTTAAGGTTTAGGATACAACGTATCAGATACTTGCTACTTGATCATGAAAACAGTATGCTCTGAGATTAATGCTGTAAATTCTCACAAAAACGCTCCCCTTGCACCTCCACAAGATTTGATTGACGGGTGCGAACCTGTTAAGGTCGATGATCTCAACGATGAGTTCTTCAATTCTATGTCTATGTCAGACAAGGTAAGAATTGTCAAGTTGATGAATGATTTTGATGATCATGCTAACTGTCTTTGGATCCTTGATTCAGCTGCAGTGTCCATAACGGGCAACTGCACAGGCGTTCTGAACCTCAAAAGCAACAACGACTATCAACTGAGATATGCCGGAGGGGGAACTGGATCAAGTAGACTAGAAAACCATGTCCACAAACTTTAGGATGATTGGTGTTACTTCCGATTTCGGTTTGCAGACTGGCCGAGCAGGATCCAAGTGGGGGGGGGGGGAAAGGCCTGGCTGTCAAGGGCTTTAGGGCTTGGGGCTCTGAGGTTAGGGGTTTAGGGGTTTAGGGGTTTAGGGGTTTAGGGGTTTAGGGGTTTAGGGGTTTAGGGGTTTAGGGGTTTAGGGGTTTAGGGGTTTCAAGGGCCTGGCTGTGAAGGGTCCTTGCAGACACAATGCTTGCCCTTCTCCTGCTCTTGGCCGTGATCTTAGATGCCCCCTCGGCCCTAAACCCTAAACCCTAAACCCTAAACCCTAAACCCTAAACCCTAGACCCTCATCCTGAAAGCCAGAATCCGGGATTGTTGACAACCCTAGAAACCTAAACCCTCAACCGAAAACCCGGAAAACCCTAAACCCTAAACCCTAAACCCTAAACCCCAAAACCCTCAACCGAAAACCCGAAAAAACCCGAAAAGCCCGAACAAAGCTTATGCACTCATGGCCAGGAGGCCGAAAGGAAGAGGTTCTGCAGCAAGAGCGCCGGCCTGGCCAGTCAGAGGGTTTAGGGTTTAGGGTTTAGGGTTTAGGGTTTAGGGTTTAGGGTTTAGGGTTTAGGGTTTAGGGTTTAGGGTTTAGGGTTTAGGTTTTGAGGTTTGCTCGGGTTTGGGGTTTAGGGTTTTAAACGCTCCAAGGGTTTAGGGTTTGTGGCTTTAAGGGTTTAGGGGTTTAAGAGTTTACGGGTTGAAAGGCTTGGCGGGCTCTAGGGTGCAGGGTTCAGGGTTTAGACCCTATAAACCCCAAACCCCAAACCCTAAACCCTAAACCCTAAATCCTAAACCCTAAACTCTTTAGGGTGTAGACCCAGAGCCCAGCCGGGTGGGGAGTTCAATTCAGGTCCAAGGGTTCGGTATTTCAATCCCTAAGCCGGAAACCCCGAACTCGAAACCCCGGAAACCCAGAACAACATGCAATCACCCCTACGCCCTAGACCCTTAGGGCCTGGAGTGAACGAAACCTTCACTGAGCTGTTGGGTCTTGACCTTGCTTAAACAGAAAACCTATACCCTCAGACCTAGACCTAGAACAGCAAAGCCTGCCCCAACAGTCACCCAAAACCCAACCCAAGTCACCCAAAACCAAGACCCCAAACCCCATAACCTTCTAACCCCAAGACCGCAAAGGAGAAGAAACAATAAAACATCAACAGCTTGCACGCCGACAAGGCCTAAACCCTAAACCCTACAACCCTAAACCCTAAACCCTATTTTTAAGGAAATATCATGTGCATATTACATGTATATATGTATATACATATCTACATATGTATATAGGTATTATATTTATATACGTATATGTACAGGGACCTCATGATATGGAAGCCCAAAATGCAGGTTTTTCAGGCTACAGCTAGGGTTAGCGTTTAGGTTTTTAGGGTTTTAAAGTTTGTTTTAAAGGTTTTTTGGTTTTTTAGGTTTTTTTTGTTTTTAGGGTTTTTGGGGGTTTTAAGGTTTTAAGGGTTTTTAGGGCTTTCAAGGGTGACTTGGGGGAGCTGGCTGAACGTGGGCTGCTCAGCTGCTCAGCGCCCGGCACGCCCCAGTGCTCGCGCAAGGCCATGCTGGCACCCCCCAATCCTGGCATCGCGAAGCCACATCTGCGCTCATATGGGTTTAGGGTTTAGGGTTTTAGGGTTTAGGGTTTAGGGTTTAGGGTATGAAGTAGGGTATATATTTCTTGTACCCCCAAAAGGACACCAGGTATATACACTCACCAATATTTAAAAGGGAGCCTTATATTATATACACTCACCAATAACAGGAATATATACCCTACTTCATGTGTCAAAGTTATGGTCCCTTTTTGGATCCCTGTTAAAATACGGCACCTAATGTTACGGGTACCCCAAAAGGGATCATAATGTTGACAGCCGCCCATATGTGTGGCAAGCCTAAACCGTTTTGTCAATCTCGGGTTTAGGGTTTCAGGATTTTAGGTTAGGGCTTACTTAGGGCTTCAGGGTTTTAGGGGGTTCCAGGGTTTCAGGGTTGTGGCTTTAGAGTTTCAGGGTTCAGGGCGTCTTCAACCCGAAATCCTCAATCCAAGACCTTAAGCACTGAACTCGGAACCCTAGATGACAGGTCCTACAACTTTGCCAAAGCCGCCAATAGAACGCGCACGCGCCAGACATAAAAGTGGTCGTTGTTGACTGGTTCACGCCCGAAGGCTACGATGAGTGGCTTGAAAGCATGTGGCAATCGTTAGGCCCCTGACCCTCCCTAAACCCCAAACCCTAAACCCTAAACCCTAAACCCTAAACCTTAAACCCTAGACCCTCAGACGAGCAGGTGGTACTGCTTGGGCAGTGAGCGTCCAAAAGCTGACGAACCGGGACAATCTTTCAACCCGAAACTTGGGATGTTCCCTCGTATACGAACAGCCCTTATAGGGATTATAATAGGGGGTGCTATCATCCTAAACCCTCAACCCTCAACCCTCAACCCTAAACCCTAAACCCTAAACCCTATTAAGGACTGTAGGTAAAAGGGGGAACATCCCAACCCCTAGACCCTAAACGCTGAACCCAGCATCTGGGGCCCGAACCTTTCAGTTTGAGGGCACCAAAAACCACCCATCATGAACCCTCGCATGTAGGGTTTAGGGTTTAGGGTTAAGGGTTTAGGGCCCCATGCACTCAACAAACTTCGAATCGCAAACCGTCCACCATCCTGACATCGTAAACCCCTTTCCCTAAACCCTGAACCCTGAACCCTAAACCCTAAACTTGGAGGTTCGGGGGTAACTACTTATAACCTGCGTAGACAGCCCCTGAGGCACAGCCCGATGGCACATGGTCAGCATAACCAAAATTCTAAACCCGAACCCTAAACCCTAAACCCTAAACCCAAAACCCTAAACCATAAACCCCAGCGGCTCGTGCTCTGTCGGCCCTGAAGCTCGCCGGCGGTGCTTGTGCCAGCCTTTCCGAAGTTCGTTGGCTGGTTTACGGTTTGGTTGCTCGGGGTTCAGCTTTCGTTGTGGGATTCTCCAGGACAATCACTCTTGTTGGGTTGATGATCTCCAACCCACCCCTGAAAAACCTCGCAAAATCCGAAAGCAGAGTATGCTGCTAGTGGATTCGTCATCAGAACACGTAGTCTTTGATCATCCATAACCCTATCCCTCACAGAACGTATGCTCTCACCGGAACGGGGGAGGGCGGGGGGGGTGCTTCCATTCGTTGGTCGGGAGGAGTTCTGAGCAGTCTTAGGGGGGCTAAGTCGCTGTGACAATTCGAGAGAACCCTGGCAAAGAAGGTCACAAGAATTCACGCTTCGTGTGTCAAGGCACACGCCGACTCTGAGGGAGGGATGGGGAGGGGGGGCTTGAGCTGATTTCGGGAAGAAATGCATGCAAAAAGAATCGCGTACAGGAAAAGCGCAGAGGGCTTTAAAAAGAAAAGCACTCCTGAGGAATCTCAGCCTTTGACCCTGAAGATCGCAAAGGCTCATATGTGGCTGGGCTGGCAGTGGGAGTACTCTGCAATGGCCACTTCGTGAAGAGAACATTCCACGGACGCCGTTGACGTCTGAAACGTCAAAGCGTTGCACCAGCCAACACGCCTCCAAGCGTGCCCCTGCCTGATCCCAGTGGTCCAGAAAGGTAGCCAGCCAGGCATTGTTGCCTAAACCCTAAACCCCAAATTCTAAACCCTAAACCCTAAACCCTAAACCCTAAACCCTAAACCCTAAACCCTAAACCCTAAACCCTAAACCCTAAACCCTAAACCCTAAACCCTAAACCCTAAACCCTAAACCCTAAACCCTAAACCCTAAACCCTAAACCCTAAAACCCTAAACCCTAAACCCTAAACCCTAAACCCTAAACCCCCTAAACCCTAAACCCTAAACCCTAAACCCTAAACCCTAAACCCTAAACCCTAAACCCTAAACCCTAAACCCTAAACCCTAAACCCTAAACCCTAAAACCCAAACCCTAAACCCTGGTCCAGATTGTTGGATTTAAGGTTGAGGGTTCTCTGGCATTGCTGAACCCCACTCTGCACCCCAAACCCCTGAACCCGAAGCCCCCATTCCTTCGTACCCTAAACCCTAAACCCTAAACCTTAAACCCTAAACCCTAAACCCTAAACCCTAAACCCTAGACCCTACTACAAGAACCAGGAGCTTTCGGGTTAAGGGTTTCGCCAGCTGTCGTGGCCTGCGTCCCACCGAAGCATAGCGCCGCGTACAGTGAGCCGCAGACTAGACCTGGGAAGGGTTTAGTTAGGGGTTGGTTTAGGGTTTAGGGTTTAGGGTTTAGGGTTTAGGGTTTAGGGTTTAGGGTTTAGGGTTTAGGATTTAGGGTTTAGGGTTTAGGGTTTAGGGTTTATCAAGAGTTTGAAGTTCAGGCTTTAGGGTCCTAATTTGGAGTTTGTGATTGGCTGAGGTCTGCGGGCCAGTACTTTCTTCCTGTAACGAGGGGTTTAGGGTTTAGGGTTTAGGGTTTAGGGCTTAGGGTTTAGGGGTACTCAGAAAACGAGACCCGAAGTGTCCATGTACCTAACTTTTTCAATAGGGAACGCTTGGGCCATAACGTACCTCATATAAAGGGACTTGGGCCCAAAAAAAGAGAGTCGAGGTAACTCTCTTAGGGCTCAAAGCTTCGGGGTGAGGATTTATGGTTGGACCGAGCCCTGATTAGTGCCGAAGAGATGGGACGGTCTCCCGTCTACACGCCATTAACCTCAAACCCTAAACCCCAAACCCCAAACCCTAAACCCTAAACCCTTACCCAGTAACCCCAAACCCTAAACCTTAAACCCTCAACCCCCAACCCCCAAACCCTCTCAACCCATCAATTCCTACCACTCGAATAGAACTCCCAAGGCAGAGACCCTTGAGCTCGGGGACCCCTTTCAAGATTTTCTACCTTGGAGGCTCGTGGCACTTATCAACACGCCCTCAGGATCCATGTACCTATCTTGTATATACTTGGGCCCTATATATACTACGTAAGGCACCCCTTTAAGGCAAAGCATAAACAACATGTGCACATGCATCCTTCCGGCCAAGTGTAGCTGCGCTTCTCACCCAACTGTAGCCTTTTTAGGAACCATTTTGGGGTACCTTACAAGTGCACTCTTCATTTGGTTGCAGGTACGGAAGTACCCTGAACCTCCCTCTTCGGAGTTCAGAAACCCTGTGGGAACCATCAGTCCCGTAACAACCCTAAACCCTAAACCCTAAACCCTAAACCCTAAACCCTAAACCCTAAACCCTAAACCCTAAACCCCTAGGCCGCAAGGCCGCAAGGCTCTCGAACCGACGGGCTGAACTCACAAGAATACTTCCAAGGATAGTTTAGGGTTTAGGGTTTAGGGTTTAGGGTTTAGGGTTTAGGGTTACATGGTCCCTTCATATGGGCCCTTAAAAGGGGGCCCCTTACAAACCCCTCATATACCCGACAAAACTTGTCGGCCCATACTTCCGAAGCATTTAAAGAAGGCATCTTTCCCGGGTTTAGGGTTTAGGGTTTAGGGTTTTGGGTTTAGGGTTTAGGGTTTAGGGTTTAGGGCTGAGGCTCTCAACTTCTTGCCGGCTGTTGTAAAGGCATGGATGACCACTTTGATGTGCATGGGCTGAGAGTTCTCTGTGACTGTAACCCTAAACCCTAAAGCCTAAACCCTAAACCCTAAACCCTAAACCCTAAACCCTAAACCCTGTCAGTTCCTCAGGGCACCCTTTCGGCTTGGAGCCCAGCAGCCATCTCGAACTCCGAAATTGCGCAACACCGAAGGCGCATCCCTTCCATTTCTGAAAGTTGAGATGGGCCGCCATCATCTCTCGAACTTCCTGAGCACTGAGTGCTCTGTGAAAATAAACCTAAACCCTAAACCCTAAACCCTAAACCCTAAACCCTAAACCCTAAACCCTAAACCCTAAACCCTAAACCCTAAATGTACTAGAAGTTACGAAACGAAGCTGTAGAGTCGAAGGCCGAGGCCTAGGCTCGGCAGTCGTGCCAGCAATGATGAAGAGACCCCGGAACCCGGAACCCGGAACCCTAAACCCTAAACCCTAAACCCTAAACCCTAAACGCCTAAAGCCATGTTAAGGGACCATGTCTAGTTCATGGTCGGGATAGCATTAAACATTTAAGTTTATATTCCTTATTGGGTTTAAGTACCCTTAAAGATGTAAAATATTACCCAACTATGACAAAGATGTAAATACCCTTAGAACCCTAAACCCTAAACCCTAACCCTAATCCCATATTAAGGGATCTACCCTTAGAACCCTATAGACACTAAACCCCAACCCTAAACCCTAATCCCATATTCAGGGACCATGTAACTACCCTTAGAACCCTATAGACCCGAACCCTGAACCCTAAACCCTAGACAACCTGTGCATCTTAAGGGTGTAGGGTTTCTGGGCCCTGGGCCGGAGAAGCCACCCCCCATGAGGAAGGCTGTGAACACCTCAAGTCGGAGAGTTTAGGGTTCAGGGTTCAGGGTTTAGGGTTTAGGGTTCAGGGTTTACATATTCAAGTACATGGACCCTTAGGGTGATCTCACAAAGCCAACCCACTTGTTCTGTCCGTCCCCACCACTGCCCACGTGCCGTCCTCATGCCGCTGAAGCCCTTAAGACCTTGTCCGCCAAGGCCCTGAAACTCCGATTTGTAACGGGTTCAGGGTCAAGAGCTTATGGTTAGTTTAGGCTTCCGGGTAGACACTAAATCCTAACCCTCGCCCCCCAAAACCCTAACCACCAACAACCCTAAAAACCCAGACCACGCCCTCCACTTAACTCAACATTGTGAACCCTAAACTTTACCCCAAGCCACGGGCACACTAAGTTCCTAGCCAGCGCTGCACAACCCGCTCCATTGAAGCTGATCAAGACCCAGACCTTGGGCCAAGTGGGCACTTCCTTACATAGGGGTCTAGGGTTTGGGGTGAAGAGTTTACGGTACCCCGTATGTACCTCAAGACACAACACCCAAACTAAGTGCCCCGATTTTTCTGTTTGCAGGGCTTGGTGTGTTTGGGGTCAGAGGATCAGCTGTAGCCCCAAACCTACAACCGAGCAGGACATCGGTGACCCTTCCAGGGGTCTGGGTGAAAGGGCCTTAGGACCTTACCCCGGGGTTAAGGTAGGCTGAGGGCTTAGGGCTGGGCGCTTAGGGCTTCGGAATTAGGCCTTAGGGCTTAGGAGGGTTTAGGGTTTAGGGTTTAGGGTTTAGGGTAGAGGTGGCCGCCGCCAGGCCTAACCTATAGATTTGAAAAGTTCTAGTGGATGTGATGAAACATCGGATAAATCTTCCGAAAAAAAAATCCCCGGAAACATCCTGGACATACGCAGAAGCATATAGCTAAGCAAGTCTTACAGGTCAGGTAGGAGAGAGTAGTACCAATATGTAGTACCCATACAAGTCTACTTACTGAGCTCAAAATGGTATTTTGCTCGCCGCGAGCTGGTGCGCTGCTGCCAGCTGCCGCCAGCTGCCGCCAGCTGCCGCCAGCTGCCGCCAGCTGCCTTTCACAGCAAAGTTTCGGGGTCAGGCTGCCTTTTTGAGAATAAAGGCAATGACTGGTCACCTTTGTTTCCGGTGGAGGCCAGGTTTTGCATAAGGTACTTATGGAATGGACTTGGATGATGTCTACTTGGAAAACACCATTTCATCATGATTGCAAAGGGTAACTCAATCGAGGTATGAAGGAAACCCCATGTTGGGGAAACTCCTAGCCCTCCTACTCCCGGATCCCACACTTGAATTACGACTACGACGAGGATGATGATGACGACGACAATTCAGAAGACAACCGGTAGCAGAATTAGACCAAGGCCATCAGCCTTGCAACTGCAACTCCGGGAATGTCGAGTACCTGCCACTCATAAGACTGACTACTAGTACGACTAGTACAGCTTCTGGTACGACGATGACGACCACGAGTGCCATTACTAGTAGACCACTACTTGTAGTAAGAATACTACCAGGAGTCCTACTACTCTTACGACTACTACGACGACGACGACGCCGAGCGACGACGCCGAGGACGACGAGGCAACGAGGACGAGGAGGACGAGGAGGACACGGAGGACGAGGAGGACGAGGAGGACGGCTAGGACGACGAGGACGAGGAGGACGAGGAGGACGAGGAGGACGAGGAGCGACGAGGACCAGGAGGACGAGGACGAGCAGGAGGACGAGGACGAGGACGAAGACGAGGACGAGGACGAGGACGACGACGACTAGGACGACAAGGACGACAACGACGACGACGAAGACGACGACCACGACCACGACCACGACCACGACCACGACCACGACCACGACCACGACCACGACCACGACCACGACCACGACCACGACCACGACCACGACCACGACCACGACTACTACGACGACTACGACGACTACGACTACTACGACGACGACGACTACTACTACTACTGCTACTACTGCTACTGCTAGTCCTATTACTACTACTACTACGACGACGACGACGACGACGAGGACGAGGACGAGGACGACGAGGAGGACGACGACGAGGACGACGATGACGACGACGACGACCACTACGACAACTTAAGTTCACCCAAAGTGTCATTATTTCTTTGCTGTCCTGCTCCGACGACACTGTTATTTACAGCGAAAGCGCTTCATTTTAACGCATGATTTTTGTGCAAGTGGTTCTTCACTTCTTGGTTGGTGTGGGAAGGGGGGCTGTGGGGGGTGAGAGGGGCTGGGGAGATGGGGTTTGGCTTCGGGGTTTGAGGTTGGAAGCCCCTGGCTGTTAGCTGTTCGCCATGCCCTAAAGTCCCTACAGAGCAACCCCCAAACCCTCCAAACACCTTCTAAGTAATACCCTAAACCCTTTGACTCCAAAATCCTAGTTCCCGAAAACCCTCACACCGATAGGCTCGGAAACCCTGGGCTTGGCCAGGAATTCCCGCGGATGTCAGAATTGAGGGTTTTGAGTTTAGGGTTTAGGGTTTGGGGTGAAGGGTTTAGGGTTAGGGAATGTTTGTGAGTAGTACACGAGAGCCGCTGAGCCAATTTGATCCAGTCTCCAAGCCGTCACGAGTTGGCTTGTGGCCTCTGTTGCCATACGTGAAACAGGGTTTCGGGTTGAGAGTTAGGGAGTTTTTTCATCCTTGCCCCCCCTCCCCCCAAAGCTTGAAGTGACTGCAATGCTAGGATAGAAGGCCGGTGGTGCTCGCCGTCGCCTTCCGGGCCTGTGTCATACTGTATTCCTACAGCAAGGGCCCATAGTTCAGATCAAGCACCACATCAACAGCAGTAAGTAGTCCAACAGACTCCCGTGCATTTCTTGGGAGCCATGGCGCCCGCCTCATCGTCGGATGCCAGGTCTGCCCAGTCGCAATGTCGGACAAAAATGCGGCCGCCCAGGTCGGGACTGGGCTTTAGGCTTCTGGATTTCGAGAGTTTCGTGTTGCGTAGGGCGTAGGGGTCAGGGTTCAGGGAGCTTGTTGAATATCCGTGTCGCGCTTTTTTGCTTGCCGTACATTCGGGTGGGCCCTTCTGAAATGTTGCTACCCTCGTGGCCTGGAAGCCCATTCGGTCCCCCTGGAGTAAATCGGCAGAGGACCACCTGGGTCTAGGGCTCAGGGTTCAGGCTTCAGGGTTGAGGGTTTAGGGCTACTAGGGGTGCTTCTATGGTGGCACCCCCTAGTAACGGGACACCCGGCCAGCCTCTTTCAGCGCCTGCACCGCGGCCAGGCGCTGCTCCTCGTCGGCCCCTGCCTCGCGCACGCTGCGCGCGCTTTGGTGGGTTTAGGGTTTAGGGTTCAGGGTTCAGGGTTTAGGGTTTTGGGTTTATAGGGTTTAGGGTTTTCGGGTTTAGGGTTCAGGGTTTAGGATTTAGGGTTTAGGGTTTAGGGTGTACGTTTTAGGGTTTGGGGTTTTGGTTCGGGGTTCAGGCTTGCGCTCATTAGGATTAAACCTGCACCCAAAACTCCCTAAACCCGACCGCCGGATAAGAAGCCCCTACGCACGTTCTAGCCTACACGGCTTGCTCGCCCCGAAGCAACCCTAAGCCACAAAAAGCCCCAAACCCGGTAGGATGTCTAGTCTAGGGTTCACCCTAAAGCCCTGGCAGTATGTCCAAGCAAGGTCAAGTACAGCCCTGCAACTGTAGCCATGTAAGCCCCCAAGCTGAACCCCTCAGCGCAAGTGCGAGCATCCTACATGCACGACCTGCACTCGCCAACTGTGGCGCAGACCCTCAACCCTGGCCCCAGACCCTAGACCCTGGACCCTAGACTGCCCTAGACCCTCGAGCCTCGCCCAAACCCTGAACCCTACACTTAAACCCCCAACCTTTAGGGTTTAGGGTTTAGGGTTGAGAGCCCCAAAGACGCACAAACGGCGTGACGGGACCTGCACTTGGCAGCCAGCCCCTTGCTGGCCGAGTGGTAAAGGGGTTTAAGGGCTCGGGGGGTTCAGGGTTCAGGGTTCAGGGTTAAGGGTTAAGGGTCAAGGGTTAAGGGTTGAGGGTTAAGGGTTAAGGGTTAAGGGTTCAGGGTTCAGGGTTTAGGGTTTAGGGTTGGGGTATAGGGTTTAGGGTGTAGGGTTTAGGTTTCGGCGTAAGGGTTTACGGTTTAGGGTGAGTGGCAAAGGGGTTGAGAGCTTGTAGGGCTTTTGGGATTTAGGGTCTGAGTGGTGTGATTTTACCCTTTTTCCAAACCCTGAAAGCCTAAACCGTAAACCCTAAACCCTAAACCCAGAACCCTAAACCCTAACCCTAAACCCTAAACCCTAAACCCGAAACCCTAAACCCTAAACCCTAAACCCTAACCCTGAATCCTAGATTCCCAAGCCTAAACCCTAAACCCTAAACCCTAAAACCCTAGGACCCTCAGACCAACCCGCAACCACGCCACAGAGGGAGTGGGAGGCGGAGGGGGAGCTTGGAGACTACAATTGAGGATGCTGTTGGTTGACGGCGGCAAGCAAAGGCCCAAAGTCCGTACTGCAGACGAGGACTTTCTTGGGTGACGGCGGGAAGCAAAGGCCGAGAGTCCGTGCTACAGCTCAAGATTTTGTTGGTTGGCGGCGGGAAGCAAAAGCCCACAGTCCGTACTGCAGCTGAGGACTTCTTTGGGTGAGGGCGGGAAGCAAAAGCCGAGAGTCTGTGCTACAGCTGAAGATGCTGTTGCTTGACGGCGGGAAGCAAAGGCCCAAAGGCCGTACTGCAGCTGAGGACTTCTTTGCATGACGGCGGGAAACAACGGCCCGGAGTCCGTGCCAGAGCTGAAGATGCAATAGGTTGACGCCGGGAAGCAAAGGCCCAGAGTCCGTACTGCAGCTGCATGAGGACTTCTTTGGGTGACGGCGGGAAGCAAAGGCCGAGAGTCCGTGCTACAGCTGAAGATTCTGTGGTTCAAGGCGGGAAGCAAAGGCCCACAGCCCGTACTGCAGCTGAGGACTTCTTTGGGTGACGGCGGGAAGCAAAGGCCCAGAGTCCGTACTACAGCTGAGGACTTTTTTGGGTGACGGCAGGAAGCAAAGGCCCAGAGTCCGCGCTACAGCTGAAGATTCTGTTGGTTGACGGCGGGAAGCAAAGGCCCAAAGTCCATACTGCAGCTGAGGACTTTCTTGGGTGAGAGCGGGAAGCAAAGACCCAGAGTCCGTACTGCAGATGAGGACTTCCTTGGCTGACGGCGGGAAGCAAAGGCTCAGAGTCCGTGCTACAGCTGAAGATTCTGTGGTTCAAGGCGGGAAGCAAAGGCCCAAAGTCCGTACTGCAGCTGAGGACTTTCTTGGGTGAGGGCGGGAAGCTAAGGCCCAGAGTCCGTACTGCAGATGAGGACTTCTTTGGGTGAGGGCGGGAAGCAAAAGCCGAGAGTCTGTGCTACAGCTGAAGATGCTGTTGCTTGACGGCGGGAAGCAAAGGCCCACAGCCCGTACTGCAGCTGAGGACTTCTTTGCGTGACGGCGGCAAGCAAAGGCCCAGAGTCCGTGCTACAGCTGAAGATGCAATAGGTTGACAGCGGGAAGCAAAAACCAAAGTCCGTACTGCAGCTGAGGAAGCAAAGGCCCAGAGTCCGTACTACAGCTGAAGATTTTGTGGTTCAAGGCGGGAAGCAAAGGCCCACAGGCCGTACTGCAGCTGAAGACTTCCTTGGGTGACGGCGGGAAGCCAAGGCTCAGAGTCCGTGCTACAGCTGAAGATGCTGTTGCTTCACGGCGGGAAGCAAAGGCCCAAAGTCCGTACTGCAGCTGAGGACTTCTTTGCATGACGGCGGGAAGCAACGGCCCGGAGTCCGTGCTAGAGCTGAAGATGCAATAGGTTGACGGCGGGAAGCAAAGGCCCAAAGTCCGTACTGCAGCTGAGGACTTGCTTGGGTGAGGGCGGGAAGCAAAGGCCCAGAGTCCGTACTACAGCTGAAGATTCTGTTGGTTGACGGCGGGAAGCAAAGGCCCACAGGCCGTACTGCAGCTGAAGACTTCCTTGGGTGACGGCGGGAAACAAAGGCTCAGAGTCCGTGCTACAGCTGAAGATGCTGTTGGTTGACGGCGGGAAGCAAAGGCCCACAGGCCGTACTGCACCTGAGGACTTTCGTGGGTGATGGCGGGAAGCACAGGCCCAGAGTCCGTGCTACAGCTCAAGATGCTAGGTTGACGGCGGGCAGCAAAGGCCCAAAGCTGAGGACTTCTTTGCGTGACGGCGGCAAGCAAAGGCCCAGAGTCCGCGCTGCAGCTGCAAATGCTGTTGCAAGCTCAAGAAATTCATCGGATTAAGATTGCTGGGCAGGGAAATCCATCGGATCAAGATTGCTCAGCAGGGAAATCCATCGGATTAAGATTGCTGGGCAGGGAAATCCATCGGATCAAGATTGCTCAGCAGGGAAATCCATCGGATCAGGATTGCTCAGCAGGGAAATCCATCGGATCAAGATTGCTCAGCAGGGAAATCCATCGGATCAGGATTGCTCAGCAGGGAAATCCATCGGATCAAGATTGCTCGAGCAAATGAGCATCAGAACACTTTCCATTTCTACTTAGGGTAATTGGGGATTAGGGTGTCCTTTCAATGCCGACTAGAAGATGTATGTTATAAAGACCCCGTGCGCGTTTTGGTCTCCCGGTGCCGCTTGCCGGGGGGTGGCCCAGGGCCTCACCAGGCCGGGCTCACCCGTTTTTTAACAAAACGACATTTTATACGACTTATCGGCATTGAGTTGACAGGACCAATTTTTTATATCTAGTTACAGCAGAGCCCCCCCTGCCCAGGCCGTAACTAGATGAATGAAGACTCTGGATGAAGTTACGTCGTGAGATGGCAAAACACAAGTACAACATGATACATGCTGGCCTGGGCTAGAGGGAACCCCAGGCCCAGGTGTGAGCCCCTAGTGGGACCCGACACCCTTCCACGGGCCCCCCTTCTTCAAAACGATATATATAAAACTTAACCGGGGGTTTGGGCTCGGGAAAAATATGCTGGGTCTAATATCTAGACCTAGAAGCATCAAATCATCGTGGAGCAAAAATGCACCCCACGGGCAGGGCGATATATGTGCCCTGCGGAGGGGCCGAAAAGGGCCCGTTTTTTATTGGCGCAAGCAACATGAGCATCAGCATCATGAGCATCAGCATCACGAGCATCAGCATCATCGGCATCCTCACAACGGCATGTCCTGTACATGAAGGTGCAAGGCCAATGTTCGCATGGGCGAAAAAATGAAACTTAGAACGTGCCGGGACGAGCGAGAGATTGGAGATAGGCGAATCAACTGGCTGGTGGATAGAGGGCGCGTGAACCAGGGCATGGCAAAGTTTACGGTGCGGGCTTTCGTGGCGGCATGGAAAGAGCTGCCCGAGACCCTTGCAAACTACCCCTAAGGATCCCGACCGTAGGATTTTGGGTTTGAGGTTTAGAGTTTAGAGTCCAGGGTTCAGGGCACTTGAAACCCTCGACCCTCAACCCTAAAAGGTAGCGGTCCAGCCTTCTCGGCAGCGCCGAGGTGGCCACCGCAGCAGCCGGGAGGATGGGGTTTAGGGTTGAGGGTTTAGGGTTTAGGCTTCAGGGTCTAGGGTCTAGGGTCTAGGGCCGTGAACACCCCGATTCCTGACCTAAACCTACAAACCCGACAAACCCCATAAACTCTATTATATAGGGGTTTGAGGCGGTTCAGGGTTTGAGTTCTTCAGGGTGGGATTGGCTACCTGTACACTTCGCGGCTTGCGCGTGTCATCCTTGCGCAGGGCTCTGATACAAGGTTTTAGGGTCTTAGGGTTTGAGATGTTTTTAGTTTTAAGGTTTAGGGTTGTTCAGGGTGGGATTGGTGACTGTTGCGGCTGCGAGCCGCGTGGCGCTGCTTGTCGGCCAGCAGGCCGTGCCATGGGACCCCCTGAACCCTAAACCCTAAACCCTAGTGGTAGCAAAGAGAGTAGAACTTGGGAGTGGCAGGCCTTCACGTGGTTTAGTGGCAATTTAGTGGGTAGCCGGAGAGATGGAGAGCTAAGGCAGGTTTTCTGCGGCTCAGGAGTCTTAACAACAATTTCAAGGATCTGACATGAGCCTTGAAAATATAAAACTGAACGAGAGCCCGCATGTCGACCTGAGACCTAACAGCTGCACCCAAAACCCTAAGCCCTAAAACCCAAATTAGGTTTGAACGAGGGATGTTTGGGAGCATGATTCATGGGCTTTTTCTTCCAATGTTTTATCCTCCTTGCTCGGGGTGCCTTAGGCTGTAGGTGGCCTTCTCTAGTTTAGGGTTTAGGGTTTAGGGTTTAGGGTTAGGGTTTAGAGCAACTCGCACCCTTTAGTCAAAAACCCTGCTTGGAGGCCGAGGGTACTTGGAACCCAATTCCGAAGCCCCCTTAAGTGCCCCAAGAAGGTCATGGTTGGGTTATAAGTGGAATTACTATTTGGCTAGTAAGTACCAAAAAAGGTACATACTTTTTAAGTAGAAGTAGCTATGATAGGAACCCAGAACCAACAAATATTAAAGTAAAGTACTCCAAAACTCAGTCCAAGTACACCCCCGCCCCCTCCTAAACCCTAAACCCTGAACCCTAAACCCTAAACCCTAAACCCCAAACCCTAAACCCTAAACCCTAAACCCTAAACCCTAAACCCCCTCCCCTCCTTCCGAGCTTTCCGGCGTAGGCGCCAAAGGCGCTCGGCCCAAGGCCGAGGCGATGCAGCGACGCAGCAAAAAGCTCCGGCCTCGGTCTTTTTGGGGAGATGATAAATTCGCATAGAGGGTTTAGGGTTTAGGGTTTAGGGTTTAGGGTTTAGGGTTTAGGGTTTAGGGTTGAGGATTTAGGGTTTAGGGTGAGTTTAGAGTCAAGAAAGGAGTCTTGGTCGTATGGTGATTGAAGACGCAGGTTGGCTTCCAATCTCCCGGTCCGGGCTCACGCTGCTGGGAGCATTTGCCGCACAAATGTGTAAGGCAAGGGGAGGCCGACGTGCTTGGGGAACGTCATCAGCTGCGTCGGCTTGTCATCTGGGTGTTGCTCCCTGTGGCGCGCCAGGACCTCCTGCGACCAATTACCGCATCTGCATCACAAGCTGGCACCCACGGTTGAATACCCCCAAGGCTCCAGGTTTTCGCCGAAACTAAACCTTAATGACTAAGGTTTAGGGTTTAGGGTTTAGGGTTTAGGGTTTAGGGTTTAGAGTTTAGAGTAGGGATGTTCCCCCTTATACTAACAGTCCTTGAGCGGGATTCTCGTACCCCCCCCCATTATAAGGAGCCAACTAAAGGCTGTTGGTACAAGGGGGACATCCCAAACTATAAACCCTAAACCCTAAACCTAAACCCTTAACCCTAAACCCTAAACCCGAAACCCTAAACCCTATAAATCCTAACCCTAAGTCCTAAACCTGAACGTAAGCCCCAGGATCCTAAACCCTCTACTTGGAGGTTCGTGGCACCTAATAACCAACGATAACTGTACTTATAGGCCCCCTTAAGTATCCTAATAGGGTTCTAAGTGGGATATACGTGTAGTTCCTATTTGGTTCGTAAGTACTATCAGCCTCCAAGTACCCCTGCTTGGGACTGAGATTCGAGATCCCACGTCTGCCATTGATGGAAACCACGACGTGCGCGTATGTTTCATGTTTCGATCTACGGCGCATTGTACCCATATCTACATATTATACACCTACATGCGCATGCATGCATGCATTCATGCATGAGTATGTAAGCGGCATACATAAACGTGACCGATGCAGTTTGATTCCTCTGTGCATTTAAGTACTTTCTTACTTCGACATGTTTGTGTATGGAGAGAGAGAGAAAGAGAAACAACACAGAGGCCTGTGCATGTATAAAAAGCTACCGTAGGGCCGGCTATAATGGTGTATTGATAAAGGGACCCTATAAGGGAATACTATTCGTAATTATTCCGAGCCCTCTAGTACCCATAAACCCTAAACCCTAAACCCTAAACCCTAAACCCTAAACCCAAACCCTAAACCCTAAACCCCCCCATATTACACACTCAAAGCCGGGAGGAGTCCCCGAAGTCCCCGGCGCCACGTTAAACTTCTGCAGGGCGTTGACGACCTCGGGCGCCTCCGGGCTCGAGGACTTCGGGGGTTTAGGGTTTAGGGTTTAGGGTTTAGGGTTTAGGGTTTAGGGTTTAGGGCTTAGGGCTTAGGGTTTAGGGTTTAGGTTTAGGGCTTTAGGGATTTGGGGGGGGGCTTAAGGGGTGGAGGGTTTTAGGGTTAGGGTTTAGAAAGCGTAGGGCTTGACGGTTTAGGGGTTGTAGAGCGTGTAGAGCTTGAGTTTGAGGGCAGCCCCTGAGCCCTAAACCCAATACAAGGAGGGGCCCCCTTACTACACTCACTGTAGATACCCTGAACCCGGAACCCTAAACCCTGCGCCCTGAGCCCCAAGCCCTGAACCAAGCCCTAAGCCCTAAACCCTAGCTAACCTCCTTAGGTACATTGACCCTTGGGTTCAAAGGCGTCAGACGGGAATTCGAACTACGATTAGGGTTTAGGGTTTAGGGTTTAGGGTTTGGGGTTTGGGGTTTAGGGTTTAGGGATTAGGGATTAGGGTGTAGGGTTTAGGGTTTAGGGTTTAGTTTCTTGGGGTTCAGGGTTCGGGGTTTAGGAATTAGGGGGCTCGGCTTAACCCTGGACAGCTTAAGACAAGTGCTCACCATGTCTCCTCTAGAAAAGGCAGTGAGCCTTGGTACTTGTAGTATAGGGTTTAGGGTTTAGGGTTTAGGGTTTAGGGTTTAGGGTTTAGGGTTTAGGGTTTAGGGTGTATGACTTAAGGAACCGGGAACACTCATTCATGAAAGGAAAATTTGGTCTCTCGGTCATGAGTCTCTGCATCTGGACACAAACAAAAACCGGTTTCGTGTTTGGGCGTTCAGGATTCGGGTATTTTGTTTCAGGTTTGGGGTCTAGGACTTTAAGGTTTTTTCCAGTCTTAACCTGCAATGCCCGAAACGCACCCTGAAATCCCAAACCCTGAGCCCTCTGACCCTTAACGCTGAACCTTGCATCCTAAAACCCCTAATCAGAAGGGTCCTCGAACAAGGAACAGTCAAGAGACTGGTTGCAGCTAGAGTCGACCCTTGCTTCACTGTACCCTGAACGCTACACCCCCAGACCCTCTGAAACATAATCAAGCCCAAAGCTCGTACTAAACCTCAAACCTCAGGCCCTAAGGCCCTCAGAACCCATGGCCTAAACCCGAAACCCTGAACCTAGCTCCCAGAACCATACATTCCCATTCAACCCGAATAAATTCCTATGCCCGCACCTTGAAGCCTAAACCCCTGAACCCTTAACCCTAAACCCTAAAACCCGAAACCCTAAACTCTAGACCCTTCTGCCCGAAGTTCCTTTCAGTCCGAAGCCTTGAACCCTAAACTCCTAACCCCTAGACCCTAACCCCTAGACCTTAAACCCTAAACCCTAAACCCTAAACCCTAAAGCCCAATGCCTCGCTACGGTCATCAGACAGCAGGCGCCGTAGGCCGTCAAGCAGTGACGGCGCGCGCCTTGCGGGGCGCTTGAAGGCTGCATACAGCCCAGGTAAACCCGAAACCCGATAGGGTTTAGGGTCTAGGGTCTAGGGTTTAAGAGTTCAAAGGTTAGGGGTTTGCGCTTAGAGGGGCTTTAGTATCCCAACGTTCCCCTTAGGACATGCAGAGTACAGCTCTGGAATTAGGTTTAGGGTTTAGGGTCCCCAAAAGTCCTGTTTAGTATGGTTTTTGGGCTTTTGGATGCCTAATCCATGAAAGTACCGCGAATGGACCCTCCGGGATACAGTACCCGGTGTTTGGAAACTTAAAGCCTAAACCCATTGGCGGAGACTCCTGCAGGTTTTCCTTCGTATTGAAACATACACATCCACGAGATTGGTTAAGAAACAGCGGAGACGGCCCAAGCCAAAACCACAAGAACGCTTCCCAAAACCGCGAGTAAACCCTAAACCCTAAACCCCAAACCCCCCAACTCGAACCTCGAGACCCCAAACCCGAAAACCTTAACCCGAAAACCCTAAACCCGAAACCCTAAACCCGAAACCCTAAACCCTAAACCCCAAAAGTGAACCAAGGCGTGCACGCCACGTCGTAGTAGTAGGACAGGTAGAAGGCCGAGTCGGAGATAGGAGCTTGCCTTAGGGGGTTTGTGGAGGTTTGGGGTCTGGAGGTGTAGGGTTGAGGGTTTAGGGTTTAGAGTGAAGCTGTAGGGTTTCGGGATTAGGGTTGGAGCTTTAGGGTTTATGGTTTAGGGTTTGGAGGTCGAGGGTTTAAGGGTTTAGGGCTTGGAGGTTTGGAGCTTGAGGGTTGCAGGTTTAGGGAGGAAACCACCCGGTTTTGCAGGGGCTAAAAATTTGGGCCTAGGGAGGACTATGCCCCATCAACAGATTGAGCTGTTGCTTCACTCTTTACGATTACCAGGGATCTCGTAGCTTTGCCCCCTAACAGTCCAGGATGCAATTCCGGTATGCTGGACAACAGATCGCCCACATTGTTTTGGAACTCTTCTGTCTCAAGGTCCTTGTTTTGCATCCGGCGAAGCTCGGCGGAGAAAGTGGCAGAACGTGTTGTTTGTTTCCATGCAACGCGCCGCTTCAGCATGGCTTCAGCACGGCGTGTTGCCCACACCAGCATATGCTCACGGTACGGACTATTGCGGGCCAGAAACTTGTGAGCCACATCCTGCGCGTGCTCGCAGCAGAGAGAGAAATCGTCTGAGCAGGCATGAAGCAGGCAGCTAGTAAAGCATCCTTCCCAAAGTCCCGACCTCTTTGTAGGAGGCAGGCAGCAAGTAAATCATCCTCGAGCCCTGAGACACCAGATATGTATCCGAAAGAACCGCCTATAGGCCCATCCTTCAGAAGTCTCTCACAGAGGTAGCGGGCCACCCTAAAGCCCGAAAACCCTACACTTCTTGAGGCTTTAGGGGTTTAGGGGTTTAGGGGTTTAGGGGTTTAGGGGTTTAGGGGTTTAGGGGTTTAGGGGTTTAGGGTTTAGGGTTTAGGGTTTAGGGTTTAGGGTTTAGGGTAAAAACCCGAACTAGTGACTTGGGCCTGCTTTCATGCTTTTGCGAGGGAGGGGGGGAGGGGAGGGTGGCAAGCGTAGTGGCGGATCCCATGTTTCAAAGACCTTGCTACTTGGTGCTTTGGGGTTTGTACCCAACCCTAAACCCTAAACCCTCGACTGAGGCGAGCTTGTAGACTAAACCCGACAAAAACCTTAAACGCAAGCCCAAGCTAAACCACTCATCCTCGTCAGCCTGCACCAAGCAAAGCCCAAAGCCGTAAAACCTCACGGACGCCCTTGTTTCGGGTTCCATTGTCAGCCGCATTTTCGGCGCTGCGAAAGTAAAGGGGGTTCAAGCCTACCTCGTAACCTAAATGGGGGCCTAAACTTTTGCGGAGTTCTCGGTTTAGGGAAGGACTTGACGATCGGCCTTTCGCCAGAGCCCCCAAGGCGACCTGGCTGTCCAGCGCAATCGGCGCGCGGCTGCAGGGGCACTTTCCGCCGTGCCGCTGCTCGGTGTGGAGGGCAGCCCTCAACTCAGACACGTTGATATGGCGCCCTCGCTCGCAAGGCCGGCGCCAGCTGGCAGTGAAGCGAAGGGTCTTAGCTAGCCTGCTCCAAAGCGGATGGCCTTTAATCTCTCCATTGGGAAGCTCTTCAGCAGGAGCGAGCAAGCCGGCGGCTCGCTGCATGGCCTCATACGGCCTCAGCAACTTGTTCCAGAAGGGTCTAATCAACCCATGCCCCCCTAAACCCAAAACCCCAAACCCAAAACCCTAAACCCTAAACCCTGAACATTACACTCTACACCCTACACCCTACACCCCACACCCTAAACCCTAAACCCTAAACCCTAAACCCTAAACCCTAAACCCTAAACCCTAAACCCTAAACCCTAAACCCTAAACCCTAAACCCTAAACCCTACCTGGAAAGTCGTCCGAGCTCCTTGCAGCTCCTCCGCTTCTGTGCGCCCAGGACCTCAGCCGGCTGGCACCATCTTCGGGTTTAGGGTTTAGGGTTTAGGGTTTAGGGTTTAGGCTTTGGGGTTTAGGGTTTGGGGTTTGGGGTTTAGGGTTTAGGGTTTCGGGTTTAGGGTTTGGGGTTTAGGTCTAGGGTTTAGGGTTTGGGGTTTAGGGTTTGGGGTTTAGGGTTTAGGGTTTGGGGTTTAGGGTTTCGGGCCTAAACCCCCACCTGGGTTTCCAACGATCGAACCGCAGCTGGTGGCCTGGACAGGACGGGGCGACTGGGCTTTTGGCCTTGGTTGCTGAGTTTCGGGTTTAGGGTTTTCTGTAGGGTTTAGGGGTTAGGGGTTAGGGGTCGGTTTAGGGCTTAGGGTTTAGGGTTTTAAGCCCCCCAAAAAAGTGTACACTTTCAGTTCAAAAGGGGATTATAGTCTCCCCAACAGTGTAAAGTGTACTCACTCAGCCACTCAGTTGCCTCGTTCGAGGGAGCTTTCGGGTTGCGGGGCTTGGGGTTTGGGGTTTCAAGGTTTAGGGTTTAGGGCTTTAGGGGTTTAGGGCTTAGGGGTTTTGAGGTTTAGGGTTTAGGGTTTTTAAGGGTTTAGGGTTTGGGGGTGTAGGGGTTTGGTGTTTTGAGGTCTAGGGCTTAGGGTTTAGGGGATTGGGGTTTGGGGTTGGGGGCGTGGTTTTTTGGGGCTTGGGGCTTTCGAGCTGGGGGCCTTTAGGGATGTTTTAGCTCATGGTTTAATGAGGATTGTAGGTTTGGGTTGTGGACTTTAGGGCCGAGGGTTTCCGGGCTGGGTACTTTAGAGATTCGGCTCAACCTCTTGACCCTCTACAAACTTTGTTTGGTTTTGTTCTTCTTGGGGCATTATAGGGTGTTTAGTGGGGGTTCGGGTGGTAGGGCTTAAGGGGTTAAGGGGTTGGGCGTTTTTGGGGGCTTTTGGGTTTGCGGGGGCTCAACTCACTCAGGGTGCCTCTCTGGTACCGCACTAGAGAGAATACCGCGCCCCTGGTAGGAGGCCCATGGTACTTAAGGGACATCAAACTGTCCGTACTCCTACCCCAACTGTAGCCATATATGAGGGTACTTCAGGGTCGCCAAAAAGTGGGTGATCAGTGTCCTTAGAAGTGGGCAAGTATTCTGAACCAAGTTGTCAAAACACACGCGTGTTGGATGCCTGCGTGTTAACGGGCGTTGCGCGCGTTCACTGGGTGTCCGGTTAACAGGTACCCGAAAACGCATTTTGCAGTGTCGTTTTGGGGGTCTAAGTGTCAAGTCTGTCCGCATGCGGGTAGCACGTCCCGATCCCCAGGTTGTGGGTTTAGGGTTTAGGGTTTAGGGTTTAGGGTTTAGGGTTTAGAGTTGACAAGCACAGTGGCACGCAGGGATCCCTCTAAAGTAGCTCCAGTTATAAGGCTTAGTTGTTCATTCCTGAACCCCCTAAGTGGGACCTGAACCCCACACCCGAAACCCTAAACCCCAAACCCTAAGTCCTAGACCCCAAACCCTACAGTCCTACAGAAGCAGACCCCAACACACCTGGATCCGGCGAATTCACAAGGATTAAGCCTAGAGCCGGGCCCAAACCCCAAACCACACTAACCTCAAAAACCCAATTCAAGACTCCAAGTGTTTAGGGTTTAGGGTTTAGGGTAGACTCTCACCAAATTCCCTAACCACTAGACCCTTATACCCTCCTACGCCCAACTCCATAATTCATCCCAAGCCCTTCCACCCAAAACCCCAAAACCCAACGCCCCAACCCCGACCCAAACCTGACAACACGATTCCAGACAGTAAACACTAACTCAAAAACCCTAAACCCCAAGCCGAGTGGCCGGAAACCCTAAACCCTAAACCCTAAACCCTGAACCCTAAACCCTAAACCCTAAACCCTAAACCCCCCTAAGCCCCAAACCCTGAACCCCCTGCAGGGTCCCCCGCTGAACCGCGCGAAGAGCAGGGCTGACCAGAGGACACCTTTTGAGTTTACCGGGTTATAGGGTTATAGGGTTTAGGGTTTAGGGTTATAGGGTTTAGGGTTTAGGGTTTAGGGTTTAGGGTTATAGGGTTTTAGGGGGGTGTAGGGCTTGGAGTTTGGAGTTTATGGTTTAGGTGTTTAAGGTTCAGGGCGTCTGGAGGGCCTTACATACGGGGATTCGTGTATATTTGAAGTATTCTGGGGATAGGGACTTGCTCATGTCTTCATGCGTTTACATGAAAAAATGGATGGAGTTGAAGAGAGTTAGAGCTCTAGGATTTTTAGCCTTGGTAGCCCAGCCGCCACATGATAATTAGGGTACCCTTTTTGGGGGCTGGTTACTTTACAAACTTATAACCGACAAACAAGGGCAAACGGGTACCACTGGGCTACCGGGCGCAAAGGCGCGTTTCCCAGAAGTTGGGTTTAGGGTTTTGGGTTTATAGGGTTTGGGGTTTGGGCTTGGGGCTTGGGGCTTAGGGCTTGGGGCTTGGGGTTTGGGGGTTTGGGGGTTTGGGGCTTAGGATTTTGGGGCTTTGTGGCGTCTTGTATATTGGAACATGCCTCTATCGTAGATACGTAGACCCACAAGGGAAGATGTGATTGAGCGTTTCTAGGATTTAGCGGACCAAGTACCAGCCCGAAGACTAAAATTTTCTCCTTAAGAGGACCCCTCGGACAACTTAAAACTTACGCAGTCAAAGGCCTGTGACCTGCTCCACCAGAGCCCGCCGACTGAGTGGCACGCTGACCCTTTCCTTGGCCACCATCTCCACCAGAGCCCGCCGACTGAGTGCTAGGACCACTGCTTCTCTGGCCACCAGAGGCCGCCGACTGAGTGGCAGGCTGAGCGCCTGCTTGCGTTGGCTGACCCTGATAACCAGTAGCCTGCTGCCCTGCGCCTGGCAGCATCTGTGGCGGTATCCCCTTGCCTGACCAGATTCCAAGCATTGTCCTGACCGTCCTGACCCTTGCTGCTTGGGCCGCCTGACCAGGGGCCTGGGCTGTGGCTGACGGATGGGCCGCCTGGCTTGCGTGGCCATCGCCTCGCCACCAAGCACATGGGAATTCTTTGCAGGACCTCTATGACCTGTAAACCCCCGTTCGCCTAAACCCTAAGCCCACCCTAAACCCTGCACCCACCCTACCCCCTAAAACCCACACCCTAACATCTGGGATCTACACAGGGGTCTATGGCACCCTGAACTGTCAGCGTGTGAGCAAAGGCTGCGGTTTACTCTCGACCGGGGGCTGGTTTAGGGTTTAGGGTTTAGGGTTTAGGGTTTAAGGTTTAGGGTTTAGGGTTTAGGGTTTAGGGTTTAGGGTTTAGGGATTCCAGGGTGCCGGACACGGCAACTACCCTAAACCCAAAACCCAAAACCCTAAACCCTAAACCCTAAGTCCCAGCAATCCTGGCAGAGGTGCCTGACGCCTAAACCCCTAAACGCTGAGCCCCTGAACAAAGGGCACTACCCTAACCCTAAACCCCAAACCCCAAACCCTAAACCCTAAACCCCTAGACCCTCAACCCCTAAACCCTAAACCCTTTATCCTAAACTCTGAACCCCATAAACCCCCTAAACCCCTGAACCCCTGAACCCCTAAACCCCTAAACCCCTAAACCCCTAAACCCCTAAACCCCTAAACCC